GGCTGTTTTTTACTGGTTAATTATAAAAAAACTACTTCCATCTTTTCAGTAGGTCGAAGTTCCGCCTATCCAAACACTTATTTGATTATCTTAACAAATAGGAGTTGTTCTAATGTTGTCATTGGTCTATAGGCATCCTCTGCTGACCAATAGGTGTTTATGTTGGTTGATTGTATTCTTTCCTCATTCTTTTCACTTGCATTTTTAATTCAGAAAAACAAATACCAGCGGTTTTAATTTATTTTATACTGTGCATTTATCACGCACTAAATATGCATTTACTATGCCACAATCAAGTATTGAACTTTTAACTACGATTTCCGTACGGTACACGGGTAGAGGAGGGTTCGCCGTTAGATGGCCTCCCAAGAAAGCCTTACCGAGAACTATTTCTTGCACAAATACGGAATAGCCCTGCAAGTCATCAGGGAACGGGGCTCCCTCTCCCTGATGCCTCCTGGCCCTTAGTGCAACGAATTGCATACACATGCAGACTGACTTACGAAAATCGGCCGCACGGCAGAACTCTCTGTAGGCTATCTTGTCCGAATTCTTGCCTGAACGGAAGAAATTGGCCAACTGTTGAATGTCGAAACGGGAGAGCTGAGCGGCCTCACTCAGAGCTAGGTTGAGAACGCAGGCAAATTGGTGCTCAGAGACTTCGTCGTGTCGCAGGGGATCGTAGTCGAGGAAGTGATCCAGAAGGCGAATTCCACGCGTGTGAACAGCGAACCCGATCCTCTCCAGCACCATGTGCACTGATGGCACCAGTAGTTCAGCTTTCGTATTAATATGGATGTCTGGTTCGTCGGGCTGAAGAAAAGTTGTCACGTGCACCTAATACATCATAGCAAGTAATGTATTTGTAAAAAGAAATCAAACACAGAATTACTCTCAATCAGGCCCACACACAACACCATCCCCGACTCTTCGTTTGGAACTTATAACTTTTTTCGATTACTACCCTCCTTAGGAGAAAACACTGGGATGAAATTACCCCAACCGAGCGCGCATCAAAGTAATAACGCTATAGGCTGATACGTACGCACACATAATAATATATTTGTTCTTCATTAATTTTGTTTGTTTTGAAAATCTAGATCCTATGCCTACGTCAAAGCTAAATTGTTATATCTGGATATCAAATATTTATATCAAATTGCGGTCCACACTTATAGACCCTCAAACATGTTGATCTACTTCATGTGAGAGAATAATTTCTGAGGGCACTAAAATGATACCATGTGAAAGCTGGATGATCAATTACAGAGCACACGGGGAATGCTTGGTAACCCACAGATTAGCCGAACCCCTCGCATTTGTGCCCTGCAGCAGCAGCATATTCACGCCACAGTACCGATGTTGCAATTGTGCTAACTAATTACGTAGATTCCCTTGTGTTTGTAGAAAGGAATAATGGTAGCATCCTTGAAGCCTTGTGAAATGTTTCGTTGTTGCCACATTTCCTGAAATAGCGGAGTCGTGAACCGCCGTAATTGTAAAAGTCCGCTGTGGTTGCTTCTGCACTCGATACTTTCGTGAATTAAATGAAGATGAGCAAACTTGTAGAAGCAAACGAATTCCGAATGAGGTTGTTCCGTCTTTATTCAGTCCATTATAGACTTGGCTACCATTCGTCGCCTAACGCATAATTATGGGCGCACGCATACAAACAATGCAAAAGTCCTAGAGACTGATAGAATAAGACTAAAACACTTCTTCCCCCATCCATGCGCATTTTGTCTACAGAATATCTGATAAAAATGGAGTCTATAAAAGCTGTATTTAGACAAGGTTCATGTCTTTGTCTATTGTCTGTAAAAAGAACACGAGTAAATGGAAAAAGAGACAGCATGAGTCGAGGATAGCCATTGATCACGGCTCATTAAGGCATACCATTACTCGATAGCTGGGGACCCCCTATTTTAACAATACCAGGGATTGTCCCAAATTGCTTCTTATAATTGGCCGGCGTGATGATTCCAAGCTGGATTCTTAACTCAGTAGTGGTTGACCACAAACCACAGTCCAGCAGATGGGTTGAATCGAGGCCATTGGCTAAAACTCACCGGGGACTCGGTATATTCATATAAAAATAATGAATGATTATTTTATCTCTCTCTCTGGTATAATGCAGTCAAATAGAAAATAACACAGTCGAATGGATTTAGCCAACGTCAACGAGAATAATACCACGGCGTAAAAGCAAAGAATAAGCAGAAACTATACCATTTTGTTATAGAAAAATTAGCCAGATAAGAAAATAACGGCAAATGAAATGTTGATAGTGAAGCAAATAAGAACGTTTTTTTCAGCCCAAGAGAGTCCTAGCAAATGCATAGATCTGTATTCCAATATGAATCTGGGTAGAGTTATTTTACATTCAGTCCTAACTAAAATCCCCACTCTCAGCATAGCGGTTCCCTCATATATTATTCTGAACGTCAGATATATAGCGTCAATCTTCAACGATCCCAGTCAACACAATGTTTCCACTCCATCAAATAAATTGTCTCTGTGGCTGGTTAAAATAGTCCGTCATGTAATTTTTAAATTTGTGGTGTAAATACCCATGAATACAGTCAATTGTGACATTTGCGTTACTTCATTCACCGGAGCGAGAGCATAATTCCCAATCAGCATGCTTTTATTAAAAGACGATCTTGTCTCATAAACCAAACGAGTAGGTGAATGCTTGTCGTGTTGCAATTTTCTTTATAGATTTCAAAAGGTCTTCTGTATTTACTTAGCTATTAGCCAAACGATTCTTGTTTCTGCCTGCTTGGCTTGCCTGCTATTGAAAAACTTAGAAATACATTTCCAAAGCCCTGATTATTGCGAATGTTTCAGAAGACAAATATTGTGTGTGCTAGTTGTGGCATATGTTCGATGGTACATCAGATATTGCTTATTAGTGTGAACCCACTGCCTTGTATATGTCGTGGACATTCTTCTTGCTTCAGAACCAAGCAGGTAAGCCCGCCCGATTCGTTCGCAATCTAAGCCATTGTAATGGATAAATTTGCTCCAGTTTTGTCCCTACAGTGGAAGCAGAAACGCGTGGGTTTCCTTACAAAATATGTGGCAATCAATAAAGCAAAGAAGGCGGAGTATGATTTCTTTCTGAAAGTCCACGCTAACCATCAGCCCTGGTTTTACTCTTAAAACCTATTCAGGTTTAGAGTAAGTGATAATTATGCAATAACAAGCTTCAGACAAGGTCACCTGAAATATATTATCCAGGTCATCACATGCGGCTTATTTTGGTCAGGTCACGATTCCTTACGTAAGTCGAGGTGATCTAATGTGTTGGAAGTTAACATGCATTACCTTTCTTTAGATCTGCAATCTGTGGCGTGCCAGCGTCTCAACAACAACAAGTCACACATCAACGTTTTTTCACTCTTGCTTTTTTTAGATGGTTTGAAATCTTGCTTGTGTTTCTCACGCGTACAGACCTTATCAGAAAAAACTGCAAGCTTTTCGCGTACCTATGCTGTGTGTATTCCTCTTGCGCTACCATTGTGACTGGCTGACCGGTCTGAACTTGCATATCAAATTTTAAACAGATTTTGCAACATATAAGGCATGAAAATCGGATGCAGACAGAGCATTTTATGATAAAATGTGCAAACTCACTTTTGGTGGGTATCCCTCTTTTGATTTTAGTTCCGCTTGCGCAAGATCTCGCAAATCTTGTTCCAGCCTAAGGTAATCAACCATTCCCGGGTCGTTTGGAACAGAATAACGTTTGGCAATTGCACAAAGTTCGGCTTCAGTGATGTCCTTTGGACCAGGAAATGCCCGATAGAACTAACAAAATAATTGCTGAGACTTTAGTTAACCTGGCTTTCTGAAACTTTCCCAATATTTTGGACGTCAAATTGCTTGTAGCATCGACGGATCGTATATCCTTGATAATTTATATGTTGATTAATTCTTGAAAGAATTGGCCGAAAGGTCTCATCAACGCCGAAATTATATTTTGACAGACATTCGGTTTCTTGACTAAAGAGTTTACATATAAATCTCTAAAGTACAATCGAATTCGTTTTATTTGCTGTTTTGGCGATATGGATAAGTTATTTGGATCGAAAGTCTTATCTATTTCCTCAACAAATTTTCGCCAATTAATTTTATCACCAACGCCATATTTTCCTTTAAGAAGAGTTCTTTGCTCTTCGTTGAGTGATATTCCAAAATTTTGCGTAAGAATGCGAAAGAACACATTGTCTAAATGTGTTATTCATTAGTAATTAAAAACCTGTGACTTTTCCTGAACGTAATTTATCGAAATCAAGGAAATATTCCGAAACTCTAACTCCCTTCTCATCGGCAGTATTTCTTAGGCATTCCTCAAAATTCCGTAAAGCACACGCAACATCCGTCATGTTTAAAATACCGGGGTCGCTGTTGTGATAGTGATTAGCGCGATTGGTTCATTATGTTAATAAAAACAACTTTCTCAGCACATGAACTCCACGTGTATGAACTCAAACCAAATAGTGAAATCTGCTCATCCGACATAATTCAGGCAGAAGGAGGAGGAAGAGGAGTAGGATGGCAAGCAATGACCAAGCAGCGAACAAATAT